AGATATTATTGTGCATTTTTCTACTTAAAATTTTTCAACAAAATTTAGATGTAGAGTCGATTTGAGGGGTGGTGAATCCAGTGCCGTGCTTAGATTTTGTTTAAAAAAATCGCTAATATGAATTCTTAAAAATTTACTTTCAAAAACTGACATAGTAGGCCTTGTGTTTTGTACAAATATGGCGTTTTTTGCTCCAAAAATACAGTTTATCAAGATATACACTTTAAAACAAATCCGGTTAAAGTCGCACAATAAATAAAGATTTTACAGGGGTGAGTCGCAAAATGGGTCACACTGTATCTATAATTTTTGTGTTAAATATTTTCAACAAAAATATCAACCATGGTTGCAATAAGTATAAAAAGTATACGTATAAAAATTATTCTTATTTAAGTTTTTATTTTCAAAACGTCTTTAGAAAATAACACAAATTAAATTAAATTTTTAAACCCTAATAACTCAAAATGGTACGTAATTTTTGGGAAACTGTATAATCGAAATTAGATTATTTGAGTATTAATAAAATAATAAATAACAAATATATCTATAATTAAAATTTGCCACCCTTAACGTAATATGTTTATCGCGCAAGTCTGACTCACCCTTTTTTTGTTTTTGCTGATACAAATAATTATAATCCCTACAACGTAATCAACCATTTAGTTGTAATTTGGCTTTGATACGACAAACATGCTCATATATTACTTTGATCTACATCTATAGATGTATTTGTATACAAATTGCTAGGTACCTACCTATGTATATACGTATTATTAGAATTCTAACGCATCTATTATCTCAAATATTACTACGATTTTTTTTGATATTTAAAAAAATAAAAAATAAAAGTTGCAGCCCTTAAATCGTCTAATTGTATTTTTTCTAGGTTCAACATGTTATAGCATTAACCCATGGATAATAAGAAATAAACAACCATATAAGGATAATACGATTTAACCAGAACTCATCAAGGAATTTGACAAGTACCTACCAATTAATTATTTTTAATTTTTTTACTAAAAGTTTTTATTATCGAAATTTCTTTAAATATCTTTTCGTCGGGTCAAATATTGTTTAAGTTGGAGATAGAACTAATTCTTTATTTAAAGATCAGTTATTTTAGTACGTTTTTGTTAGGGATCGTAGGTCAACAATTTGTGATTCTTTTTGTCAGGTCAAATCTTGTTTAGGTTGGTTAAGTTGGAAATGAAACTTATTCTTTACTTAAAGATTAGTTCTTTTTTGTGAAGGGGTCGTGCTTCAAAATTTATTTTAGATTTTTTTATCAGGTCAAATTGTGATTATTGAGATATTTTTAAAGATCAGTTCTTTTTTTTTGTCAGGGGTCGTTAATCAAAACTTTTTTAGATTCCTTTGGTTAGGGCAAATCTTGTTTAAGTTGGAGATGGAACTAATTCTTTATTTAAAGTTAAGTTCTTTTACTTTGTTTTTGTTAGGGTCGTAAGTCAAATTGTCATTAGTTTTTTTTAAGTTAAATATGGAACATATTCTTTTTTAAAGATCAGTTTTTTTTTTAGGGGTCGTAAATCAAAATTTTTTTAGATTCTTTTTGTCAGCGCCAATCTTGTTTAAGTTGGAGATGGAACTTATTCTTTATTTAAAGTTAAATTCTTTTAGTTCGTTTTTGTTAGGGGTCGTAAGTCAAATTGTCATTAGTTTTTTTAAGTTGGATATGAAACTTATTCTTTTTTAAAAGATTAGTTGTTATACTTTGTTTTTGTAGGGATTGTAGATCAAAATTTTGTTTAGATTCTTTTTGTTAGGGCAAATATGGAACTAAACATTCAATTTTCTTAGTTTCTTTAAGAAACTTTCTTGACCCATCACTGGTAATATTCATAAGAATATAAGAAAAAATTGAACCTACACCTCGCCAAAGTTTTTTGTTTCGAATGCGTTCCACCAACTTCAAATACCGACAGACAGCTGTTTCGACCTTTATTGGGTCTCATCAGTGTCGGGCAACTTGGTGTAGTGGAACACAATCAAAACAAATTACTCCCTCAGCTTATATGCTCGGTTGTTAAGTCAACAGAGGCGAGATGTAAGAACATCAGGTGATCCACACCGTCAAACGACGTGGCCTTTGCTGCAATCGGTACATACTATGCAACCGGGACTGCACACAGCAATTGTATCACAGATACTAATATGGCCTAAAGGAATCTAGAATTAACTAAATATGGAACTAATTCTTTATTTAAAGATCAGTCCTTTTAGTTCGTTTTTGTTAGGGGTCGTAAGTAATATTATTATTACGGATATGGATATGGTCCATTTAAAAAAAGAATAAGTTCCATATCATATGGAACTTATTCTTTTTTTAAAGATCAGTTCTTTTACTTCGTTTTTATAGGGATCATAGGTCAAAATTTTGTTTAAATTCTTTTCGTCAGGTCAAATTTCAAGTTGGAGATGAAACTAAATCTTTATTTGTTCGCTTTTGGGTAGGTGAACATATTTTTTAAATAATTTTTGTCGTTGTAGTCTGTTTTAGATAGTGATTATCCTATGGAACCAGGCGCCCAGGAGTTTCCTATAAATCCCTCCTTTTTATTCCTTCCATTTAGACCCATTTTAGTTCAATTTCACAATCTTTAGATTGTTGAATTAAATTAAAATGGTAGATGGATCTTGAAAGTACTTTTTGGATTTTGTCTCGGAACATCGGTAATCCGTGCTAACCCGTTTTTAACGTGGAGCATGTTGTTGCGCACCGGCGCTAATCTATTTGTAACTTAATTATCTGTCGTTTTCCTTTTCTACCCTTCCTATTACCCTAATTCCTTCGTTTGGACCTGACATGGACATCTTGGACTTCTTGGAACTTCAGGGTGCGAGTGAATCTTATATGCGAGTATGTATACAACCAGTAAATTTGTTTTTTGCGTGTTTTTGTTTATTTAAATACTCTATCTGTTTTAGGAAATTTTAGGTATATAATATGATAAGGAGGGTGGAGGGTAACTCCGCCAGGTATTTTTAACCTGCCGGTCCCAAGCCCGGATAAAGGAGGAGGGCCCTCACTCTTTTCTATTTTTTTTAGATTGTTTTCTTCGGGTAAATCTTGTTTAGGTTGTAGATGGCACTAAACCCCCGAATATTAAATATTGTGCAAAAATGTTCGTTTTTTCTAAAGTTATTTAATAAAATCGAAAACGATCTTTCAAATTTGAGAAAAAAAATTGCACATTAGCATAAATATAAAAAATGGTGGCACAAATTTTCAAAAAGTTCAAAATTGAAGAGATTTTTGAAATTTTCCAAATTTACAACAACTTTAAATTTCCTGAAAAACCCCCGAATATTAAATATTGTTCAAAACCGTTTATTTTTTCTAAAGTTATTTAATAAAATCGAAAACGATCTTTCAGATTTGAAAACAAAAATTGGACATTAGTTTAAATAGGTATAAAAAATGGTGGAACAAATTTTCAAAAAGTTCAAAATTTCAAAAGATTTTTGAAATTTTCCAAATTTACAAAAACTTTAAAATTCCTGAGACAAAAATACAACCTACATTAATTTGTTTAAGAAATTTATAATTTTATATTCCTGAAAAACCCCGAATATTAAATATTGTGCAATAACGTTTGTTTTTTATAAAGTTCTTTAATAAAATCGAAAACGATCTTTCAAATTTGAGAAAAAAAATTGAACATTAGCATAAATATAAAAAATGGTGGGACAAATTTTCAAAAAGTTCAAAATTTCAAAAGATTTTTAAAATTTTCCAAATTTACAAAAACTTTATATTCCTGAGACAAAAATAAAACATACATTAATTTGTTTAAGACATTTATAATTTTCCGTTTCTGAAATACCCCCAAATATTAAATATTGCGCAAAAACGTTTGTTTTTTTTTAAGTTATTTAATAAAATCGAAAACGATCTTTCAAATTTGAGAAAAAAAATTGCACATTAGCATAAATATAAAATATGGTGGGACAAATTTTCAAAAAGTTCAAAATTTCAAAAGATTTTTAAAATTTTCCAAATTTACAAAAACTTTATATTCCTGAGACAAAAATAAAAACATTAATTTGTTTAAGACATTTATAATTTTTCATTCCTGAAAAACTCCCGAATATTAAATATTGTGCAAAACGTTATTTAATAAAATCGAAAACGATCTTTCAAATTTGAAAACAAAAATTGGACTTTAGCATAAATATAAAAAATGGTGGGACAAATTTTCAAGAAGTTCAAAATTTCAAAAAAATTTTGAAATTTTCCAAATTTAAAAAACTTTAAAATTCCTGAGACAAAAATACAACAAAAATTAATTTGTTTAAGACATTTATAATTTTCCTTTTCTGAAAAACCACCAAATATTAAATATTGTGCAAAAATGTTTGTTTTTTCTAAAGTTATTTAATAAAATCGAAAACGATCTTTCAAATTTGAAAACAAAAATTGGACTTTAGCATAAATATAAAAAATGGTGGGACAAATTTTCAAGAAGTTCAAAATTTCAAAAGATTTTTGAAATTTTCCAAATTTACAAAAACTTTAAAATTCCTGAGACAAAAATACAACCTGTTTAAGAAATTTATAATTTTCCATTCCTGAAAAACCCCCAAATATTAAATATTGTGCAAAAACGTTTGTTTTTTCCAAAGTTATTTAATAAAATCGAAAACGATCTTTCATATTTGAAAACAAAAATTGGACTTAAGTTTAAATATAAAAAATGGCGGGACAAATTTTCAAGAAGTTCAAAATTTCAAAAGATTTTTGAAATTTTCCAAATTTACAAAAATTTTAAAATTCCTGAGACAGAAATTTATAATTTTCCATTCCTGAAAAACCACCAAATATTAAATATTGTGCAAAAACGTTTGTTTTTTTAAGTTATTTAATAAAATCGAAAACGATCTTTCAAATTTGGGATAAAAAATTGCACATTAGCATAAATATAAAAAATGGTGGGAGAAATTTTCAAAAAGTTCAAAATTTAATTTTTTAAAATACTTACAGCCAAAAACACTTGTTGGAGCCTGCCGATGGTCCATCTGTACCAGTAGGTGTTGTAATCCTTACCGTCCGTGTCGGATCTGACCAAGTGCTCCGACAAAATCATGATGAACCGCTGAAAAATGATCAGGAACAAGTTCTTCTGATCCGCCTGCGCGGCCTCCAGCTTCTCCTCCATCTTCTCCACCATCTCCTCGTTGGGCTTGTCCGCGTCGTTCTTCTTCTTCGCCTCCTCCTCTTCCTCCTCGGACTCGGACTCGCTGGACTCGGCGCGCGCCAGTTTCTCCCTCGCCTCCCCCAACTCCCCTCCCAGTTTTATGACGTGCTTGTTCATTTTTTTTATGGTCAGGTGCAGGATCTCCCACAGGTAGGTCTTCGTGAACTCCGCGGTCATGTCCTTGGCGAAGATCCAGTTGGCCACCGCCGAACACTCGACGATCTGAGTTTTGAGCATCTTGTCCACCAGCACTATCAGCATCTGCTGGTGGTTCTTCCACAGCTCGAACATGTTGCGCAGCACGCAGATCTGAGCCTCCTCCGACTCCGCTAGAATCTTCGAAAGACGGTGTCAAACTTACCCAAAGTTTTTTGTTTTGAGTGCGTTCCACCAACTTCAAATACCGACAGACAGCTGTTTCGACCTATATTGGGTCTCATGGAACACACTCAAAACAAAGGACTCCCTGAGCTTATATGCTCGGTTGGTAAGCCAACAGCGGCGAGATGTGTGGCCTTTGCCGCAATCGGTACATACTATGCAACCGAGACTGCACACAGCAATTGTATCACAGATACTAATATGGCCTAAACAAGTAATGAGTCAAGAAAGTTTCTTAAAGAAACTAAGAAAATTGAATGTTTATATTATGTATAGGGTTGGGACAGTTGAAATTTTCAAGTGAAAATTTCAACTTTAAAAGTTTCAAAATTGAAATATTTCATTCAGTTGGAAAAGTGAAATTTTCAAAAATTTTAAATTAAATTATCAAAACGAAAATTGCATGTCAAACTTTCAGAAATTTAATTTTTTTCTTCACTGTGTTAAAAATGAAGAAATTTAATTTTTTTAAAACGTATCGATTTGAAATTTGCAAAAAATATAGATCTTACTAATGACAATTAATCCATGAAAAAATTTTGTTTAGATTTTAACGTACGCTGGGAATAATTTAATTTAAAGTTCAATAATTTTTAAGGGGTAAATAATCGAAGAAGCAACTTTGTTTTATAAATTTGAGTATAACACGTTGAAGTATTGATATTTTACTATTATTTGATATATTAACTTTTTTATGAAAATGATGTTTCTGTGGCAATGATCAGTTTTGAATTAGCTGTAGCTGTATTCATAAATGTTTAGTTTAGAACATTTTGTAATTTTTATACAAATTAATTAATAATTAAGTATAGTATAACACATAAATCACGTTTAATATACAAGGTGTTTCACGTAAGTAGTCCCTTAGAAGCTTCTAGGGAATCGCGAAAGACATCGAATTTAAATTTTTAATAAATTAGGTGCTTTCCTTTCATTTTTGAAGTGAGCCAAGCAAAAGTGAGATAAGCGAGGCTACTTACGCGCACTCATCTTACCTAAAATAGACCAAAGGAACGGTTGGTAAGCCTATTTTCTCTAAAAGTGACACTTGACAGTTTAACCCTTAAGCCTGAATTATAGATTGCCTTCCTTCCTTCCTCCCGTAGTCGTGCCCGTACGGTACGGGAATCTATAACTGGCAATACGATTTAAATAAACATTTTTGACGTAATTGTCACCATTAACATTGCCCGTTATTAATTTTAATTAAACTTAACAATTATTGATAATTTAAAATATTAAAATTACTTAAAAATATGATTTTGTTAAGAAAATATTTTATTCTTTGATTTTTTTTATTACTATAATTGCAAAATTTTATCACAAAGTATTAAAAATACCTAAACGGGAAATGTTAATGGTGACAATTACGTAATGTTCATCTTCTACGGGAGGAAGGAAGGAAGGAAGGAAGGAAGGAAGGAAGGAAGGCAATCTATAATTCAGGCTTTATGTTCTGTGGTTTAACCATTTCCCTCAACGGTTTAACGCAAAGATTAAAGACTTAACGAACAAAATGTCGAATCAAATATTACAGGTAGTTAAAAATATAAATCCAATTTAAACAATAATAAATACCTTTTTTTATTCTTTAATTTTATAGAATGTAGTGAATGTAATATTCAGCAGCGATTCTGAAAATACTAGTTTGATCGCCGACGGTGGTTTAGTGGTTAGTGCATGCTGACTACAAGCCGGAGGTCGTGGGTTCGAATCCCACCAGGGGTATGGCTGTTTATTTGTGTGTGTCCTATTGTGTATTAGCCCTTGGGAGGGGACTTTAAGCCCGCGGTCCGTTCCTACCCCTAACCCGCACAAGCCATTCAGTTGGCTTATGGGACTTCTTAAGAAGTAAGGGTGGAACTAAAAGAGCACTTTTGTATATAAACTTTTTTTTTTTGTATCGTATCGTATCATCGTAATCGTAAATTACTATTTAAATAGTCATACCTACAATTGTAGGTATTCTAGTCGCCGAATGAATCATTCAATTTGAAATCCGAATGAAAATATGCGATTAATAATCGCGGATTACTTAATTCGAAAATAAACGGCGATTTTTAATCGCATACTTTCATTCGAATTATCAATTCGATTAAATTATTCCGATATTGAAATCCGAATGAAAGTATGCGATTTATAATCGCCGATTATTTAATCGAATTATCATCCGATTATTGAAATAATCGTATCGGATAATCGGTTATTGATATAATCCGATTATGCCCATCACTAATATTGTTTTAATTTTCTTCTGTTTTGTTTGATAGAAAGTGTACAACCTCACTTTTTGGCGTGCATTTATCCCCACCACCAAGTAATCAAAATTTCTCATTTGTAAGTGTGCTCCGGAGGTTGTGCTTGATCGGTAAGGGGGGAGGTAAAATTCTCACTTTGGCTTACCTGTCATTTTGCAAATGGAACGGTCTCTAAAGTGAGATAAACCAAGGTGAGGTAAGAATATATAAGAATCGTGGCAAAAGGAAAGCACCTATTATTTTGAACAAAATAATACTTCCTGTTTTACCGGAAACGTCTTTAACTTTGTTATTTTAAACAGGACACCTCATTTATTTTTACATTTATGAATTCTACATACATTTCTGAGTAAAATGGCTATACCATATCCTATACCTAAAGTCAATATTTTTCGAGTTATTAATTTTACAATCAAATATTTTAATTAATTTTAAACAATGACAGATTAAGTGGTAACCATGGATACTGTCACATTAACCCACATGTAGAATTTTGCAGGTTTGTTGATACAAAATAGTATTGAAAATATTGTTAAATGTCTCTGAAATTTTAACTATAAGAAATAGTTATTATAATACCAATCGAAAGATTCTTTAATTTTCTATTTGATTATGTTAAAACACACAGGGTTTTACATTTATAATACGTAATAATCGTAAACAAGTTATTATTGTTTGAAGTTTGCCTAATTTCAAGTGGTTTTTCTCAAGCTATTTGTTGAAAAACCTTAAAAAATTAAATTATTTAAACAATGTTTTAAAAATCCAAAAATTCCAACCCCATGTCAGCAAACCTAATAACAAAAAAATAGAGGCTATTTTTGATTAACGTGCATTTAGAAAAATTTTAACGAAAAAATTAATATCTTGAAAACTATTGACTTTAGGTATGGTCTAAATCAAATTGTATACGCTATTAAAATTTCAAATCCATATCGTTTGCGTTTCTCAAGAAACACCCTGTATAGCATTACATTAAATATAAAAAATGCAGAACTAATTACAAAAAAGCGAAAACGACCGAATAAAAAATTTGAATAAAATTTATTTATTGGGTAAATATTACTTTCCTTAGTTTGCAATTAAAATTGAAGCTGGCTTATCGAGTTAAAAATAAATTGAAGCTTGGTTGTGCAGCAAAAAATAAAATTAAAATAGGTTTTAATTTCTAACTTGCTGACACTGTCTATAATTATTATTTAGTTTAATCATTTTAATAAATTAATGTTTTGAGTAACAATTGATATTGAACCAGTTTTTCACAGTAAAAGAAAAGAGAAGACATTTGACAACTTTAGCCCGTGACTAAAGCACCATAAAGACACAACTTGTCAATGTGTTTTTAAAAGGTCACTGAGTGTCATGGAGACATGTATGATAAAGCCTGAATTATAGATTGCCTTCCTTCCTTTCTTCCTTCCTCCCGTAGAAGATGAACATTACGTAATTGTCACCATTAACATTTCCCGTGTAGGAATTTTTAATACTTTGTGATAATATTTTCAATAATAGTGATAAAAAAAATCAAAGAATAAAATATTTTCTTAACAAAATCATATTTTAAAGTTATTTTAAAGGATCAATAATTGTTAAGTTTAATTAAAATTAATAACTGACAATTACGTCAAAAATGTTTATTTAAATCGTAGTGCCAGTTATAGATTCCCGTACCGTAAGGACGGCATTCCTTCCTCCCGTTTAAATTTTTAAGTTTTATTTTTCACCGTAAAAGTCTTTGACATGACCAATCACAGTGCTTGTTATGGACATGCGCTGTAGGGTGACAGCGCGTAGGCACAAAGTATTTAAAATACATGATTGTTTAGTATTATTTAAGATAGGTGTTCAGTGTATTAAATAATTTGTGTCTCTAAATAGGATATTTAGATATTGTTTATGATCAAAGTCTTTCATTTTTAGAAACGTTGCTTTGTAAAACCCCGTAGTTTCCCGGTCTTGGTAAAATGGGCGAGCCTTCCAACGTCTTGTTCGATGTTTTTTTTCATTATACTGCCCTACTATGGAGAAAGGCAGTAACTACAAATGCGTTTTCTTGTGCTATGATAAAGCTATGGACATTTTGTATCTTTATTCAACAAAGAAATGCAGTAAACTATCTTTTAAGTTAAATAAATCAGTTAAATACCTACTGCTTTGTATAAAAATGTAGTTTATGCTAATTTCCCACAAATTTCTTGTTTAGCAGTTACTGCCTTTCTCCATAGTTGGATAAATGATTATCTTTCATATTTACACACAATGGGTAAAACGCAGAATATAAACAAAAACAAATGTCAACCATTTTAGGTGTCATCGCGCATGGTTACGGAATTTTACTCGGAAATCTATAAATTGACTTTTTACAAGACGCACAAATCGTAGGAGCACGACTACGGGAGGAAGGAAGGAAGGAAGGCAATCTATAATTCAGGCTTAAGGGGCGTTTTAACCTTCGGATGACCAAGGGGGGTAAATTTTGACCCCAATGTATATTTTTCTTGAATAAACTCTTAAATATTTTTAATTTTTAACTGATTATTTTTTTATTTGACTATATTATTATGCCAAGTATTTTTATATTTTGCATAAAAAAAATTTACAAATATTTCTCATTAAAAAAGTATTTTTAAAAATAAATATGGTATTAACAGAATATTCAGAAGATCCTGAAGATCCAGAGCCAGCTGAAAATCCTAAGAAACGTGGCCGATGTAAAATTTGCTGTCGATCTTCCGACAGAAAGTTTACAACGAAATACGATAAAAAAGGATTTTGTCTGCAAGGGACATTCTAAGATTAAAAAACATACTATGTAATACCTTTGGTTTCTAGTGCATTTTTTTTACAAATTTCATTGCTTCCTTTATTAGGTTTAGACTAATATTTTTTCTTTTTTGGTTTAGTTGGAATAAAAATGTGTTGTACTAATGTTTGTTTTCATTATTTAATATAAAATATAACATGAAAATAATGAAAGGATGTTTTCGTTTACTAAAATCAGGAGGGGTCATTTTTAACCCCCCTTGGTCATCCATGTATAAAAAAGAGGTTGGTCATCCGAAGGTTAAAGGTGTGAGTAAAAAAATCATTTTTTACCTTAAACACGAAGTGGAACTTCGAGATAGCAGCCCAGCTGTGAGAGAAACTCTTGGACCCCAAATTAAGCAAAGTCTGTACGAAAACGTCAATTTTCAAGGGATTAAACCTCCCGTCTCCGTCTCCCTCCTCCATCCTGGAATTGGGGAGGTCCTTCAAGACTCCCAAAACCTCCTCCGGGGTGCATTTTTGCCTGATGGAAACGACCAACTGGTGAGCAGTGAGGGTGCCAGGCAGATTTACTAGAAAAAAAAAAATACAAAAACAAACATAAATTTGAATAAAATTCAGATTAATTATGATAAAAGGTTAAAACGGTTTGTTGAAAAATGCACGGTAATTAATTATATTAAGCGCTTAAGAAATAGACATTGAACTAAATACTATAATTCGCGTTTTTAAACAAATATATTTCATAATTTTTCAGAAAAATTTCTGCACAAAGGAAGCGCGCTTCCTAGACGATTTTTCACAACGATTTTTAGATAAAAAAAATTATATTTGTTTTATATATTTTTTAGTATTATTAATAAGCGATTTAAAAAAAAAAATTAGGATAGGTATCTAATAAGATTTTTATTTATTTTTCACCATATTGAGTATTTTTTAAGAATATGCCATGCGATAGAGAAGATTATTTCAAGAATATTAAAAACTAATTAGTTAATTAATTAATTAATGTCATGAGAAGTCTTTTTTTTCGCTCGAAAAAAATTTACAATAGGGTATTTCCATTGTAACGGGTGCGAAACTAAAACTATAAAAAATAGTATGAAAAATTAGATATTTAACTCAAACAAAATGTCAATAAAAACTTGTAAAGAAAACCTTTTATAACGTCATGAATAGACCTTAGTTGATTCTGTAAAATTTTGGATGAAAGCATATAGTAATAATTTTTTGTGTAAAACTTGAATAGTAACCTTAAACAAGCACGTATTTTAAATCCAAAAAAATTGCATACTTTATTTTCTAAAATGTAACGGGTGCGACATTTGAACATTTTATCGAGTATACACTGAAAAAAATTATTACATTTAAATGTAAACTTACAGGATTATTACCACATAAATTACTCATTTTTACGACAAATTGTAAAATTACCTTTATTTTCGTCTAATTTTTATATATTTCAAGTAAATAAACATTTTTGTTTGTAAAATTACTAATGTTATGTATTAATTATTGATACAACAAGTAAATTTAACGAACTAAATGTAAAAAATACTTCACTGCATTATTTCAAATGTAAATATACTTTATTAGTCTTAATATTACAAGTTTAAATGTTTTTTACATTCGGAGTGTAGTAAAAATCGCAAAATTACATTTCATATGTAACCGGAGAAGAAGCCTATTGGCTGGGAATTCGCGCATGCCAGCCCACGCATCGGCATGTTAATGTTATCATGTATAAATACATTTAAAATAAAAAACAAATTACATTAAAAATGTTATTTTACATAAAAAATATAAATGAGTTACACGTCAATTATGCTATTACATTTTGCATGTAAAATAAATTATTTTAAATAATAATGAAATGGAATATTTCAGTTATCAACAAGGCATCAAAATAACCAATCTCCATTACCGGAAATTTACATGATTTTTTTTTTCAGTGTAGAAACTCTTCCGTGTTTATTCTTATTGTTAGCTTCTTAGCATCACAATGTACGAATATTTTAAGGTTATAAATAACGTCGCAATTAAACTAAACTTAAGGAAAAAATTAAAGGATATTAAAAGTTTTAATGAAAAAACCAATAATTTAAGCTATTTTCGCTATAACTCCAATAAATCTATCAATTGTGAATAAGAATAATTGCTTTTATATTGTGAATTAAATGAAACAACAGTATAGTAACAAAAATTTTTTAATGATACGAAATATGAAACATATTATTTTCTATTAATATCTTGTATGTCCGCCCCTTGCTTCCAAAACGGCTCTACATCGACGAGGCATACTTAATACAAGATTATCTAAATGTTCTTGAGGTAAATTGTTCCACAAATCCGGTAAAACTTCCTTCAATTCGTTTAAAGTTGTAGGAGGTGGTTGATGCGTTTCAAGGGCCCTTTTCAACATCGACCAAGCATGCTCGATAGGATTGAGGTCCGGTGATAAGGGTGGTAATGGCAAGTGATGAATTTGGGCATCCTCTATAGCTTGAAGTACAACTCTTCCCCTATGTGGACGTGCATTGTCATCCACAAAAATAAACCTATCTCCAAGTTCAATCGCTAGTGGCTCAATTATACCATTTATAATATCCTCACGGTATAGGTTTGCAGTCATATTACCCTCAACAATGTACAGTGGCGTACGTCTTCCATAGCTTAGACCAGCCCAGATCATAACTGACCCTCCTCCGAAAGGATGTATTTCTTGAACAGCAGCGCAATGGCGGGGAGTTCTTCGAGTTCTCCAAATTCGAATACGTCTAGAGTCATTATGAATACCAATTCTACTCTCATCGGTAAAAAAAGTTGAGTTCCATTCAGGACCCCAATTTATGTGAAGACGAGCCCATTCTAGTCGTTGCTGCTTGTGATGTGGCTGCAAAGGAACTCCACGCATAAGCCTTCTAGAAGCTAAACCAACTTCATGTAAGCGATTTCGAACTGTTCTGGCCGTAATATTCCGTCCAGTAAATGCACGAAGTTGATTTCTCAGACTTGTGGAAGGAGTTGTGGGATGTCTTCTCGCATTAATAGTTAAAAAACGATCTTCTCTTGCGGTAGTAATTCTTCTTCTTCCCTGTCCCCTACGTCTGACTACAGAATTAGTCTCATTAAAACGAGTTTGAAGTCGACTAATAACACTTTGCGACACTCCAAAATGACCAGCCACATCTACCTGTCGGACACCAGCTGAAAGCATACCAACTGCCCTGCTTGCTTCCATTTGGTTTAAAAATCGTCGAACCATATTGATAACTAATAATTGTTTCTAACCGGCACCGTTAAATACAGAAATTAAACTGACTATAATGCGATAAAACGCACTTAAAGTTTCTTGATTTTTTTTTGTTCATATTATATTAGCAAAAAATGTACTAGTTATGAAAACATAAATATAAATAAATATACTACAATATACGAGGGAGTTCTGAAGAGTTCAAATGGAATTTTAAAGAGAATCGCCAGTATCCTTTAATTTTTTCCTTAAGTTTATTTGACTTCAGATATAGTTGTTATTTTGTTAAATAACACATCTGATTTTTTGTCAAGGTGGGGTAAGGTTTCGTGGAAATACCCTGGTTTAAAAGTTATTTAAGGTTAAAATTGAACTTATAGTAATTTTTTCGACTGCAAAATTATCATTATTTTTATGAAAATAAATTGTTAATTTTTAAAAATATGTGATTTTATTGTATTATTGAAAAAGTAAAATTATTAAAAAGAGATAAGAGAAAATTATTGACAAGAGATTCCGATAAATTAAAAAATGTTTATTACATTAAAAGAATCTGGTACTAGTGTTACTCAAATTTAGTACAATTACTTTTTTACATAATCTTTTTATTTCTTTGAAATTTTACAAAATTTTATACGATTTTATAAAATATTATTACAATGAAAAATTTCAGCTGTAGCTTATGACGTAGAAATTCTTTTAACAATTATTTTTACGAAAAAATAAAATTTGTAGTTACGCATGCGCACTAAAGTATGATTTAGTACTTTGACCACAGAAGGCAGAAGTCGCACTTCACAGATTTCGAAGCTTATTAAAAACGAGTGTCTAGATAAGTTTATAAAACGAGTTGCATACTAAGTATACTTTATCTACGACGAACACAAAAAATAAATTAAAGCCAATTATACTAGTTAAACATTTGACATTTGTCAAATGTCAACGGAATTAACCTCACTTTTCTCTAATATATAATAAAGCTAACTTCAGCCCGTGACTAAAATGCCCAAAAGCCACTACTTATTGCCAACTTCAGCCCGTGACTAAAGCGCCATAAAGTCACAGCTCGTCAATGTAGAAGTAGGTAATAGTATATTATGTATCAAGTTTGATAAACGTCATTTTATATACGAATTTAATTTAGGCACGAGCGAGCTTGCGAGCGAGTGCCTAAGTTAATGAGTGTATAGAAAAGTTTATAAACGAGGTGCATACTATACTTTTTCTACGACAAATACTTATTATTATCTTAAAATGATTTAAATTAAAAATTTGTATAGAGCGCCATCTATGAAACAACAGGGGAAACTGTCAAATGTCACATTTTTACATTTTATAAACACAATTATAAAGGTTATAAATCAAAATGTATATTGAAAATTGACAGTTTTTCACAGCGAAAGTAAAGGAAATGTTTAATGAGGACTTTACAGTAGAGTCCGTGCTCGAATTTAAGTTACAGTTTACTGCCGGCGAAATTAAAAGGTCCATACAATGTTCATATAAATTTTTCAAATATTGGTGTTGATAAACTATTTAATATTTTTGTATTTTTGTATTGAGATAAGTAATAAAATTATTTTCACATTTAGTATTATTTTACAAGAAAGGCACTTTATTTTAACGATTGTATGACATCTGACCACTGTCAACTAACTTAAAACTAACTTCATTCCGTGACTAAAGCGCCGTAAAGCCACAACTTGTCAATGTGTATTTAAAAGGTCACTTAGTGTCATGAAACCATGTACGATAAAGGGCGTTTTAAAGGTGGGAGTAGAAAAATACATTTAACTTATTTGAAAAGGATAATTGGTGTAGCGGAAATTTCTGCATCTCATACTCAAGACAAGGTATGCGTAACTACGAATTTTATTTTGTCCTAAAAATAATTGTTAAAAGAAATTTTACGTCATTAGCTGTACTGAAGGAAAACTTTTTATTGTATAATATTTTTTATAATCGTATACAATTTTGTAGAATTTAACAGAAATAAAAAGATTATGTAAAGAAAGTAATCGTACTAAAATTGAGTAAAACTAGTACCAGATTCGTTTAATGTAATACAAAAAATTGAATTAAATCTCTTTTACTTATCTGTTTTCAATAATTTTTATTTTTTCAATAATACAATAAAATCACATATTTTCAAAAATAAACAATTCATTTTCATAAAAATAGTTATAATTTTGCAGTCAAAGTAAAAAATCTAAAAAATTACTATAAGTTTAACTTTAACCTTAAATAACTTTTTTTTTTTAATTATATAAATATTTTTTTATAATTTTTTTAATAATTTTGTTTAGGTCATAAACTAAA